ATGTATCAGACAGTGTTTCTCTGCTATTCATAAGGTTTTCCCTGGCCAATTCTTTGAGCAGTCTGTAAGCCGTGTTGAAACCTGTGTACCATGTGCAACCCTGCTGGTGTTTGAAACACTGGTGGCACAGACTCAAGCCTCACAGCAACATGCAAGCCACCACAATAGGACAAACTGACAGACAAATTTGTCTTCCTTAGCAGTTCAAAACCTCTCTGCCCTCCCCTTAACTGGACCCCATGGCTCTGTCATCCCGGCTTTTCCCACTGCTTCCTACTTCTTGGGCTGGGCTGGGCCTGTTGTCTCCCTCCCCTTACCTGGATCCCACAGCTCTGTCTCATCCTGGCTTTTCCCCTGCTTCCTCCCTCTTGGGGTGGGACCTGTGGGGATAGTGTTTGGAGCTCCGATAAAGAAGAGACCAATTTTGGTGATGGGTTCCTTGGGATGACTGGTTAAAGAAGAAAAACTACACTTCCTTGGAAAGAAGCAGAACAGGAAAATTATTGGAGGAATTCTCCTCATCTTTCTCTGGGGAAAAGAAGGCCGTATGTATTTCAAGTTAGGGCCTACCATAGGAAAGTGGTCCCTGTTGCATTATGAGCTAAAGGTGTTTAGGACCTAGGGCTTGTGTTCATGGTAAGAAACCAGTGAGAAGCTGCCCTACAAGGGACTGATCATTCATTGAGTATTTATTTGGCATCGACTTGGTGTCAGGCACACTTCTAGGCACTATGGATCCAACATGAATGAAACAGATGAAATCCTAACTATCATTGAGTTTGCATTCTGGGGAGGTGGACAAAAAAAAAAAAAAATCAATGAGTAGATATATTATAAAATATATTAGAAAATAAGTTCAATGGAGAAAAATACGTAGGGCAGGAGGATAGGGAATACTGGGTGAAGTATTTTAATAGGTGGTCAGGGAATTCGGTGTTGAGTAGGTGATACAAAACAGAGAATTAACAGAGGTGAGAGAGTGGGCCTTGTGATACACCCAGGCAGAAAGAATAGCAAGTACTGAGGTCTTGAATTGGAAGCATGCTTGATATCATGGGGTGACATCTCAAAAAAGCAGGGAGACTCCTTACAGTACCCTCCCATCCTCACCCTAAACTAGAAAGAGTTCATCTTGAGTAGGAGTGACATTTTAAGCCTCGGCAGTGAAAGACTGCTTCCCCAAATTCCAACCCAAGTACTCAGAGAGTGAAGGTAATACCAGAAGAGCATCAGCAGCACAAGCACTACAGGGGGAAGTGCCTGTTGAGCAACACTGCCCACACGGAGAAGTGGTTGTTCTGACAGCTATTACTAGAACTGCTATTTCAAGATTTAGGAGGCTTACTTTAAATAAGTTGTAGGAGTCTCTGCGTGGGTCAAGTGATTAAGTGCTTCCCTACTAGCTGACTGATTGGTGATTTGAACCCACTCGGAGATGCCTTAGAAGACAGGCCTGGCAATCTTCTTCCGAAAGGTCACAGTCTTGACCTGCACACAGTGCTACTCTGCACACCTGGGGTTGCCAGAAGTCAGAATGGAATCAAAGACAACTAACAACAACAGGGCAGCTGGTGGGGACAGCGCTAAACAGGATTTGTAGAAATTACCTGGAGAGAGTGACAGAGGAAGTTGCTGTTTGAATTTCACACCCAAAACTGATATGGCTTTCATTAAAATAGCAAATGTTCACTTTTTTGAAGTAGATTTTATCCTCTATACTGGTTTTATATATGTTGTAAATGTTTAATATAAAATTTTGTATTATAAAATTTTTTCTATGATATGTATAATCTTAAAAACACAGATTGTATGTAATCATTCATAAAAATCTTATGTATTTGAAATGCACGTTCATGGGGCCTAATATAAAATTTTATAA